ACCTTGTGTAAGTTACAAAATATATCGTAGTAAAGCAGGCTGGCTTTAGTATTAATACCGGTTAGAATAAATTTAGCCAGCATTAAGGTTATTGGATGAAATTTTTATGATTGCATATAACTTGCATGATAATTTACATTTTAAAAATAATTTACAGTAAGTTATACACACTAACTTCAGGCACGACATATATATCGATATGATAATTAATAATTAAGTTTATCGATAGTCAATTCGACGACAAATATAAACCAATATTCACCATGAGAATTTTATATTAAGAAATACATAATTCTATGTATGTTAGAGTGTTTAATCACGTTTTTGGGTAATTATTTTTGGTTTAATGTAATTAAAAATATTATCCCTTACACCATTACATTATTATCGTGAGGCTTAAAATAAACTGATATAAACTACGATCTAATATAGCTTAATAGCTCGAACAATAGATTTCATGATAATTCGCAGGAAAATTTGTCTGCAAATCAGTGTAAGGAATACAATAATTAAATATTAACAATCATTGTCTCAAACTCTAACTATAAATAAAATAATATTAATATCTACCAGCGATTTATGCTATATATATATATATATATATCTCATCTACTTATATTACAAAAACTATGTTAAATAACTCATTATTAAATACAAAATCAGGAATAACTCTAAGCAATGTAATTATAAATTGCACCTCTATTAATAAAAAATATCCAGACTCTGACTAGAAATACTATGAAGCATAGCTAGAAATACTATGAAGCATAACTACAGTTTCTTGACTATTATCGATAAATTATATTAGAAAATTTGTAATAAATAAAGAGATACGTAATTAATACATTTAGTACCTTTGAAAATCTCCATCGAGTTTTAAGTATCCTTGCTTTTCAAGCTTTGCAAAAAGGTTTTGAAATAAACGGAGTAATTTTGGATATCCGGTGATAAAAGTTTGTCGCATGAAAGAGGATCCTTTAAAATAAATAAATAAATAAATATTATGAAATCAAAATGTTGATTATAGAACAACAAATTAAATTTACAAATATAAATCCACCTTTTGTGGCTTCTTTCAATTCTCTTTCAAAAGTCAAAGACAAAGTTTTCCAAAAATGTTGAATTAGACCTCCATCTAATGTCTAAATATATAAATATTAAATTAAGATATTAATTATTATTAATCTACACGTTTTGAGTTGTTAAAAGATATTTTATAAAGTATAAACCTTTGCAACTTCGTCCAAATATGATACTTGCGTCATTGTATCTTTTTCATTAGCCAGCACGTTTTCAAGCGTGTACATCTATGAGCATGAGTTGAATCAGCACAAATATTATCGATCAGGTTTCACATGATGCAAGCATAAATCTTACAAAACATATTAATAAAATCATGAATATAACCTTACTACAGCTTTCAGCAATGTTATCCATCAAAATCTCCATTCGCTTCCACAGTGCTGATGTAAATGTCACGGTAGATCCAGCTGTAGGTTCTGATCCTAATCGCCTAATTCCTTTTATCGGGGCAGCTCCAAAGTCTATTAAGTATTATCATAGTATTATAATCGACTCTTCCAACATATAAATATATTAAATATATGAAGCCTAAATTAACCTTTAATTTCTTTTTGAATTGATGCAGAATCAACAGCATTTTTCATCTGGTCCAATAATTTTGTGAACATATCATCCACATATTTTGATACTCTTTCCCCTATTTCATTAAGTTCATAAAATATTTGGAGACCAACAGCAATGTCTACTTCTTTCTAGTCATAAATCGAAAAATTATAACGTAATGAGTCGAATATCATCGATTTATACCGTTAGATTATTAAGAATAACCTACCTGTTTGTCTATTCCTTCAGTTAACAAACGAAGTGCTTCGTTCGAAATCTTTGTCTTTGATTGTCGAATTTTAGGAAGTTGAGCTTGAACAAGAACAATTCCTTCAAAATCAACTTCCTTTAAAAGAGCCTCTGCCAATCAAGTAAAGAGAAATTATCATCATCATATTATACATTAAAATACCGAATAACCTACCATATAAAGCTGCTTACCCAATTCACTAATATTTGAAGCAGCTTTAATATATTCATTGCTTTTTTCACTTTCATTATCAGCATCTATCAACTGACTTTCTAAACATCTTGCTAGATAAAAGAATCGAACAACTTTTCGTAATAAATCTGAAGCAATTTGTAACCTTTCTAATTGTATAATGTAATTCTTTATTTGTGAATAAGGTGTATATATTTTTGTCTTAAGCCTAATGCGAAATTTTTGATTATTTAATTTTTAATCATTATTAAATA